AAAAGCAAGTCTTCCTCCTATCCTGGCAGTTCTGAGTCTTCTGATTTCTGTAACTGAGTTTTGAACTCTCTCTCTCTCTCTCTCTCTCTCTCAGAGAGGCTTGATCCCACAACCCTGAGATCATGACCTGAGCTGAAGTCCAGAGTCAGATGCTCATCTGACTGTGCCAACCAGGCGCCCCTGAACTTTATATACTTTTCAATTCTTTTTTTAAAAACCCAAGGTGCATTGTGGTCACTTCAATTTTCTTCTTTAACAAGGTATCTTGGCAAAAACTGCATTTCACACATTTCAGATGCCTCCTCTTTTATGGACTCAGAGTCGTTCGGGGTACAGGGGAGGGGGTGCCAGTGAAGGAGGGGTGGCCCTCAGTGATGGGCATTGGGGTGCAGGGGCCCCTTCGGGTCACTACATTTGTTGTCTTTGGGGTAAATACCCAGTAGTGCAATTGTTAGGTACTAGGGTAGGTCTGTTTTTAACATCTTGAGGAACCTCCATACTGTGTTCCAGAGTGGCCGCACCAGCTCGCATTCCCACCAACAGTGTAGGAGGGCTCCCCTTTCTCCGCATCCCCGCCAACATCTGTCGTTTCCTGACTTGTTAATTTTAGCCATTCTGACTGGTGTGAGCTGGTATCTCATCGTGGTTTTGATTTGTAGTTCCCTGATGCCGAGCGATGTGGAGCATTTTTTCATGTGTCTGTTGGCCATTTGGATGTCTTTTTTGGAAATGTGTCTGTTCAGGTCCTTTGCCCATTTTTAAATTTGATTATTTTTTTGCTATTGAGTTGTATGTGTTCCTTGTGTACTTTGGGTATTCACCCCTCATCAGATATATGGTTTGCAGACTTTTTTTTTTTTTGCATTCTGTGGGTCTCTTTGCAATTTATTGACGGTTTCCTTTGCTGAGCTCTTTAGTTGGATGTTGTCCTACTTGTTTGCTATAGTGTTGGCTGTCTGGGCTTTGGTGTCCCATGCAGGAAACATCGCCAAGACAAATGTCAAGGATTTTTCTCCCCATGTTTTTTTTTTCTGGGAGTTTTATGGTTTTAGGTCTTACATTTAATCTTTGATCCATTTTGAGTTAATTTTTGTGAGTGATATAAGATGGGGGCCAGTTTCATTCTTCTGCAGGTAGATATCCAGTATTCCCAACACCATCCGTTGAGGAGATTGTCTTTTCCCCATCGTGTGTTCTTGGCACCCTTCTAAAAAATTAGCTGGCCATATATGTGTGGGTTTATGTCTGGGCTCTCTATTCTATTCGTCTGGTCTGTGTGCCTGTATTCCTGCTAAGACCTTACTGTTTGGATTTCAGTAGCTTTGTATCATAGCTTGAAATCAGGAAGTGTGATGCTTCCAGCTTTGTTCTTTTTTCTCAGTGTGACTTTGGCTATTTGGGGTCTTTTGTGATTCCAAATAAATTTTAGGATAGGTTTTTCTATTTCTATGGAAAATGCCATTGGACTTTTGATTGAGATTGCATTGAATCTGTAGATCGATTTGGGTAGTATGGACATTTTCACATGAATTCTTCCAATCCATGAGCACCGAATATCTTGCCATTTTGTGTGTGTGTGTCTTTTTCAATTTCTTCATCAGTATCTTACAGTTTTTAGTATACAGGTCATTCACCTCCTTTGTTAAGTTTATTCCTATATTACTTGATATTGTTTTTGATATTATTTGGATATTATTGTAAGTATAATTATTTCTTTATTTCTTTTTCAGATAGTTGGTCATTAGTGTATAGAAATGCAACCAATTTCTGTATGTTGATTTTGTGTCCTGCAACTTTACTGAATTCACTTATCAGTTCTTACAGTTTTTTTAGTGAAGTCTCTAGGGTTTTTTATATATAAGATCATGTCACCTGCAAACAGAAATAGTTTTACTTCTTCCTTTCTGATATGGATGCTTTTTATTTCTCTTTCTTCCCTAATTGCTGTGCCTAGGAATTCCAGTGCTATGTTGAATAGGAATGATGAGAGTGGGTATCCCTGTCTTATTCCTGATCTTAGAAGAAAGGCTTTTAACTTTTCACCACTGAGTAGGATGTTAGCTGTGGACTTGTCATACATGTTATTTATTATGTGAGGAGCATTCCTGCTATATCCAGTTTGTTGACAATTCCAGACAATTGGTGCCCATGAAAGGATGCTGTATTTTGTCAAATGCTTCTTCTGCATCTATTAAGATGATCATATGATTTTTATCCTTCATTCTTTTTTTTTAAAGATTATTTATTTATTTATTTGACAGAGAGAGACACAGTGAGAGAGGGAACACAAGCAGGGGGAGCGGGAGAGGGAGAAGCAGGCTCCTTGTGGAGCAGGGAGCCCGATGCGGGGCTCGATCCCAGGACCCTGGGATCATGACCTGAGCCGAAGGCAGTCGCTTAACCAACTGAGCCACCCAGGCGCCCCTTTCATTCTGTTTTTTAAAAGGATTTATTTATTTATTTGAGGGAGAGAGAGAGCGCATACAAGTGGGAGGGCAGAGGGAAAGGTAGAGAGAGTCTTAAGCTGACTCTGTGCTGAGCACAGAGCCAGACATGGGGCTAAATCTCATGACTCTGAGATCATGACCTGAGCCGAAACCAAGAGTTGGTCACTTAACCAGCTGCACCACCTGGGTCTCCCTATCCTTCATTCTATTAATGTAATGTATCACTTTTATCGATTTGCAGATGTTGAACCATCCTTGCATCCCAGGGATAAATCCCACTTGGTCATGGTGGATGATCCTTTAAATGTACTGTTGAGTTTGGTTTGCTGATATTTTCGTGAGAATTTTTGCATCTATATTCATTAGGGCTATTGGTCTTTAATTTTCTTCTTCTTTTTTTTTTAAGGATTTTATTTATTTACTTGTTAGAAAGAGAGAGAGAGCACAAACAGGGGGAGCATCAGGCAGAGGCAGAGGGAGAAGCAGGCTTCCCGCTGAGCAAGGAGCCCGATGCAGGGCTCGAGCCCAGAACCCTGAGATCATGACCTGAGCCAAAGATAGATGCTTAACTGACTGAGCCACCCAGACGTCCCAGTCTTTAATTATCTTTTATTGTGTGGTTTTTTTAGGTTATTTTATAATTTATTTTTATATTATTTAGTTTTAGATTATTATATTTATTTGACAGAGAGAGAGATAGCAAGAGCAGGAACACAAGCAGGGGGAGTGGGAGAGGGAGAAGCAGGCTTCCCGCAGAGCAGGGAGCCCGATGCGGGGCTCAATCCCAGGACTCTGAGATCACGATCTGAGCCGAAGGCAGACCCTTAACAACTGAGCCACCCAGGCGCCCCTATTGTGGTGTTCTTACCTGGCTTTGGGATCAGGGTAATGCTGGGCTTGTAAGATGAGTTTGGGAGTGATCTCTTTTCAGTTTTCTGTTACTCTTCTTGTAATAATTTTCCTGCCCATTCTTGCTTGTTTGTGTGATGCTTTTCTCAATTAATTTTAAATTCAGCTTGTCTATCCCCCAATTCTTCTTAGTATTTTTTGGGGGATTGTATTAAGTTCATAGATAAGTTTAGGAAGAATTAGTATCTTTATGTAATGTTAAGTCTCCTTATCCATGAACATAGTATTCCATTCCATTTTTGGTGTTCTGTTGTGTCTCTCGGGAACATTTCAGGTTTTTAGCATGTTTCTTGTTAAGCTCATCCCTAGGTCTTCTGTTGCTGCTATTATTTATGGAAGACTTTATTATGTCCTTGAACTTGATGCTTGTCTATCTTGAGGCTAATGGTGCACCCAGCCAACTTCCTGAATTAGATGGGAAGCCTCCATTATTGCCCTTCCCAACATGATGCTGACTTTGTCTTGATACAGGTGCATCTCACTGAGGAACAGTTTTGGTGTATCAGCTATCTATTGCTGTTGAGAAATCACCCCAAGACTTGTTTGCCCAGAACACTATTAAACATGTATCATTTCATAGTTGAAGTGGCTTTGCTGGTGGCTCAGGCGTGAGGTGGCAGTTGAGCTGGGGCTGCACTTATCTGGAGGGTCCTCTCGCAGAATGCCTCACATACATTCCAGACAATTGGTGCTGGGGTTTGGCAGGAGGCCTTAGTCCCTCCTGGCATGGGGGACTGTGGGCCGTGCTGCTTGAGCACCCTCTCACCATGGTGGCTGGCATCCCCCCCAGTCAGGTTGAGAGAGCTGGGAGGAAGCAGTGTCCTATGGCCCAGCCTTTGTCATCAAACTTCTGCCGTATCTGTTAGCTCAAGGGGACTCTACAAGGTTATGAATCTGGGAAGCCAGGATCCTTGGAGTTACATCAGGTAGTGGTGGGGCGACTGGGTGCTTTGCTAGCTAGCTAGCTGCTGAGCCTCAGCCAGTGAGTGTAGTGCCTCAGTTTCCTCAAGGGTAACTAAGGATGGCACACATGCAGGAAAGTTGGGGGGTCAAACGCAATCAAGCTGCAAAATGCTCCTGACCTTCCTGCTCTCCCTTTTAAGGGGTTGACTATAGCTCCAGAGCATCCTCAGGTAAGAACCTTCCCAGGTAAGAAGATAGGCAGGTCCCCTCTGACCTAGACGGGATGGAGCCATTTAGGAAAGCCTCCCCCTCCCACCTCCCCCAGCTCTCAGCCCCTCCCCTTCCCAGTCCTCCTGCGGGGGGGGGGGGTCCCCGGGGGGTCCCCCAGTCCCCACAGGTCCATCTGTTGCCAGAGCAGTTCTAGAGCAAAGGGGCGCCTGCGGGCTCCCCAGCGGGCTCTGGCGGGAGCACCTTTCCCCTCTGCTCTGTCTTCTGGTTTTTTTCACCCCCGCGCGGGCATGGCCCCTTTTGCAAACTGCGGAGGATCCCATCCTCCGGGCAGCCGAGGCGCCCCGCGGGTCTGTGTGTGCGCGGGGCACCTGGGGCGGGGGTGGACCTCAGGGGCCCTCCCCCCGCGGCCGAGGGGCGGGGGTCGCGGGCTGCTCGCGGGCCTCGCAGGGGTGGCGGGGCTGGGGGGGGGGGCGGTGAGGTAATTTCCGCGATCGGGCGTCAGCACTTTGAGTCACCCGGGGGCAGAATCGAAAGTGATCGCTCGGTGCGGAGCGGGTGCTGGTGCCGGCGGCGCCGGGCGGCGAGGGGCGGCTCCGCGCGCAGGGTAAGCGCCCGGCGAGGGCCCGGGGTCTCGGCCGCCGTCCCGGGGCGGGCTCCGTGGGACCCCCAGGCGAGAGGGAGCGGAGGGGGCGGCCGCGCCCCGCGGGGGGGGGTGCTGGTGTGACGGCGGGGGGAGGGTACCCAGAAGCCACCTGCGAGCCCCCGGCCCCGGGAAGCTGCGCAGCCGGGTCGCCGCGACCCCGGCTCCCGCCCCCCCCCGGCCCCTCCTGGGGAGGGGCCGCGATCTCTGAACCCCGAGTCCAGAACCCTTAGTGTCGTCCTGTTTCTGAATATCCACCCGGCTTGGGCTCTACCCTGGTCCCTCTGTAGCTGGACCGAAGATTGACTTTGGAGAGGGGAGGGCTTTCCCCTCAAGGCTGAAGCTGCAACCATTTCCTTTCAAAACATCTCTCGGTGCTGTGCTCAAAGTTTCCCCTGCAAGTTCCAAGCAGACGGGGCTTCCCCACTTCCTCCCCAAGCTCTGATGCTGTTCTGCTGGCCCCCGCCCCGCCGCCCACCCCCCCAGCAGGGGCTGCTGTGTGTTTGGGTGCGTCAGTGCTGGGGGGCGTTAGAGAGGGAGGCTCCTCGGGGAGCCCCAAGAGCCGTCAGGGCTCCTGTTGCCAGGGCAGCCTTCCCCCAGGGCCCAAAGACCCTTCAGAAGTGGGAGGGGTCTTGGTTGGGTCAAGGTCAGTGCGGCCCCCTCCCCCTGTGTTGTGGACAGAATTCTCCCCGGCCTGACGGAGAGGCAGAGTGTGTCTGAGCCCCTACCTGGTGCATGTGGGCCTCCTGGCCTCAGGATCTGACCTTCCTTCTTGCTGTTCCCCATTCCAGACTTCTAACCATGGGTGAGCAGCCCCGGAGGACCCTCTGAAGCCGTGAGCCCCGGATGGCACTCCGCAGAGCCAGGCCAGGGATGGTGCCCCCAGGGGCCGGCTCATCACCCACCAGCCCCATGGCCACCAAGGAGCTGTCTCTGGCCGGGCTGCGTGCCCAGCTGGACCTGCACCTGGCCTGCCCCCGCTGCAGTCAGCGGCTCAATGAGAGTACCTACCTCCTGCGCAGGGTAGAGCACAGTTGTCCCCGAGAGATCCTGCTGGCCCGCTTCAAGCGAGCCCCCAGGAGCCGCTTCTGGCACAAGGTGGACCGCCGGCCCAGCTTTCCACGGCCTGCCCGCTATGAAGTCTGCTGGTACTACACCCCGGGGGTTGGCTGCCAGCGCCACCGCAACCAGTGCACCTTTGCCCGCAGTCCGGAGGAGGCGCTGGTCTGGACCTTTGAGCGTGAGCATAATGTCCGGCGTCTGTGGCTCAAGACTGAGCTGCAGGGCGAGGCCCGGGGTGAGCTGCGTGGCCCAGCGGATGCCATCCGTGCGGAGTATGGTGGCCACTTCCAGCTACTGTGTTCCCACTGCTTCCGGTGCTGTCCTCCACGCCTCTGCCCCGTGGACCCCCAGGGGCGCTGCCCCAAGCATGGAGCCTGCCCTGCGCTCCTGACCCACGTGACCACTGAGGGCCGCCGCAAGCAGCAGGTCGTGGAGGTGCGGCCACAGCCCCAGTATGGCCAGCCACTGGCCTACTGCATGTACGTGGGGCGCGGGCGGCCGTGCCGGCACGGGGCGTCCCGCTGCCAGTATGCGCACAGCGCGGTGGAGATGGCCGTGTGGGAGGCTGAGCAGCTGGACGGGCTCCAGCGGCGGGACCTGCTCTTGCCCACTGCCCCCAGAGAGGGTGAGCACATGGTCCCCCACGGCCAGACCACTGCGGTCAGGCTGTACTGCCATGCCTGCCTGGTCACCTGCCACTCCCAGGAGGCCTTTGAGAACCACTGCTCTTCCCTGGAGCACGCACAGATGGTGGCCCTGGACCAGACTGAGTCCTGGGAGTACCGCAGCCCACCCATGGGGCTCTCCACGTTTGAGCTCTGCCCAGAGTAAGGACAGTGGGGTGCAGGGTTGGGGTGGGGGATGAACCCCCCTTCAGCTGGAACCAGGGGTTCTCTGTCCCCTCTGTTATGGGCTGGCCCCCGCCCTGGCCTCTGGGGGGTGGTTAAGGGTGGTTAAGGGAGGTTCACCGAGGCCTCTTCTTGTGGGCACAGGATGGAGGCGGTCCCTGTTCCCGCCCTGCCCTGCCCCCAGGCCCGGATTCTACCCTGCCTCCCGCCACAGGCCAGTATTGGGCTGAGAGGCTTACCTCTGCCCTGCTTGCCGACCTCCCGTTTCCCAGACCCAGCCTCTGTGAGTATGGGGAGGTCTGCACCAAGGCGCATTCCGAGCAGGAGCTACAGGAGTGGACGCAACGAGCACAAACCCTGAAGCTGCGGGAGCAGGCCGCCTGGCAGGAGGGGCTGGTGTCTTACCAGGCACGGCTGCTGGCTGAGTACCAGCGCAGCAGAAGTGAGGTCCTGGTGGTAAGTGGGGGCCAAGTGAGTGGGCAGGGGATTGCTGGGGCCAGAGCCCCGCTGCTGACCGCCGGGCTTCCTGTGCAGGCGGCTGAGACCGTCGATGGCGTGTCTGTCACCTGCAGCCAGCCCTTGGTGCATCAGGCGCATGAGCAGAAGACTCAGCACAGCTGGATATTTGACATCCACTCCGAGGTGAGCAGTCAGCAGGCCTCGGGGTGGTTGGGGTTTGGGGTCTGGAGCTGCCTGTGCGTTCTCCTGCCGTGTGCTTGTGTGATCTGAAGCCTGCCTCAGTGTCCTGTGCCAACCCCTGTGGCGTTACTCTGCGGAGCGTCCGGCATAGAGAGTGAGGACCAGGCTACTTACCTCGTGTGCCCTGAGCGTCCCGTGCTCCACGGGGGCTGCTCTGCGACCCTATTTGCAGTGGGGAACCCCAGGGTTCAGACAGGCCAAGCAGCCTTCTGGGCTCGCAGCCAGGAAGCCCAGCAGGGTGGGAGGGGCGCGTGGGTCAGCCCGGGCCCTGATGGGCGGGCAGGGTCTGGGGCCGCCTCACCATCCAGTCTCTCCCCCAGGAGCCCCTGCTACATGTGGCCCTGCTCAAGCAGGAGCTGGGAGCAGACTTCTCGCTGGTGGCCCCCTGCCTTCCGCCAGGCCAGCTCTATGCCAAGGGGGAGCGCTTCCGAGCGCGTGCCTCTCCAGCCAGGTTCCGGGTGGAGGTGCGCGTGCAGAGCACCTCCTTCGGCTTCTTCGAGCAGTGGGTGGTCTTTGACTTCGGCCGCAGGCCAGTGCTGCTGCAGAAGCTGGGGCTGCAGCTGGGCCAGGTGCGCTGCCCGGGGCTCCGGGCAATGGTAGCACGCGGCCATCCCGAGGAGCTGGAGCGCTGGCACACAGGCAACCGCCTCGTGGTGCCTGCCGTGGAGCGGACGGCCGAGCAGGTGGCCCTGGTGGCCAAGTACAAGGTTCCCGCCCTGGCGCTGGACTTCAGCCACGGGGGCCCGGCGCCAGGTCCTATCTCCTGCGCCAACTACCGGCAGAGGATGCACCAGTTTCTCTATGAGGAGGAAGCTGCTCAGCAGCAGCTGGTGGCCAAGTGAGTGGGGGCTTCTGGGCCCACGGGGGCTGCTGGGCTGCTGGCTGCAGAACTCCGGCCCGGTCCGCTGACCCTGTTCTCCCCACCAGGCTGAACTTTCGGGGCCCGGTGTGCCTGAGGACAACCCTGCAGACGCCGGCCCTGGGCATGCTCTTTCCGCCGGCAGGAGCCCTCTATGCCGAGGTCCCCACCCCCTCCTCTCTGATGCCGGACACACACGAGGGCTTTCTGCTGGGCCGGGCGGTCAGCACAGCTCTTGTGGCCCCTGTGCCCGCACCTGACCACACGGTGTTTGAGGTGCGGCTAGAAACCCGGGCCATCTCAGAGCAGGCGCTGTGGCTCCTCCTGCCCACCCACTGCTGCTCGGCCCTGGGGCTGCAGCCTGAAACCAGCCCCGTCTTGGAGGTGCAGTTCCAGATCGACCCGCTGACCTTCCGCTTCTGGCACCAGGCGGTGGACGCGCTGCCCGAGGAGCGCCTGGTGGTGCCGGACCTGCCGACCTGCGGCCTGCCCGGGCCTCTGCCCACCCCACCCACGGTGCATGGCAACCACAAGCAGAAGTTGGCTGTGGCGTTCATTGCGGGCAGCCGCCCCAGGGGCATGCAGCCCATTGCCCCCCTGCTCATCTACGGCCCTTTCGGCACGGGCAAGACCTACACTCTGGCGATGGCCTCCCTGGAGGTCGTCCGGCAGCCCCACACCAGGGTGCTCATCTGCACACACACCAACAGGTGAGCCCAGGGCCACCCTGCTTCCTGGGACGGGGCAAGTGTGCCGCTGGGGGGTGTGCTACTGCCAGAGAAGAAGGGGGGCCTGGGGTTCCCAGGATCACTGGAGGCCTGGGCAGCTAGCGCCAGAGTGGACTGCCAGGGTTGCCTGGCCATCGGCAGAGTGGGGTCTGGGCCGGGCCCGCATCCTGGACATGGGGGCAGGGACGGTGTAGGCCCTGGGGCGGTCAGGGTCACACTGACCCTTGGGACTCTCTCTGATAGCTGAACAGCCCTGGGCTAAAAGAGACGGGACATTTGTGCTTCGGGCCCAGTGCGGGGTGCCCTGGGTGTGAGGGGCTGGCCTCGGTGCTTCTCACCTGGGTGCATGTGGGTGCTTGCCCACCTGCCATCACTGCCCGCCCACCATCACTGCCCACCGTCACTGCCCACCGTCACTGCCCGCCGTCACTGCCCACCCACCGTCACTGCCCACCCACCGTCACTGCCCA